TTGAGCATTATTATCCTTGTTTTCTTCTCTCTGGTTTCAGTCTGGAAGCACCTAGTAGAAACATCCCGAGCTCTCTAGCCACAGACCCCTGTTTCCTGGCCTTTGGCTTTGGGTATATTGGTACATGACAGAGTCATGTTCCACAGGACGCCATACTAAGGTCCTTGGAACTAAGGGGCATGTCTGGGTTCACATCGCTGGGACCCCTGAGCCAGTCTGATTCCTACCATTATGCCATGGCAACCTTGGTGTTGCCCCTATTTAGCCCCAAGTTGCTTCACAAACCTCACATTATCTTTCAAGCCTGCCAATGGAGATTCATTTCTTAGGGCTAGGGACCCCTCACGTGGGCCTTATCCCAAAACAAAGCCCTCTGTCTACATAGGACAAGTGGTCACTTAGCCTCAGAAAGAATGAATTCTGCAACCATCTTTTCTTCCTCTTTTTAAGGAAAGCCCAGAGGAGCCTGAGAAGTCTGACTCACTGTGAGAGGGAAATAGGAAGAAACTAAAGAAAGGCTAACAAAGAGTGCTGATATAAGCAACCTCATGAGACGATTAGCCCGAGGATAACTGTTTCTTTGGTTCAGCACCCAGAACAGGGTTTGACAGAGTAAACAGTTAAAATGTGTCACGTCTATGGATTACAGACTTCCTCCTAATTTGGCTAAAGGAGACCCGACTCACTTGGACATAAAGAGAATTTGAATGGCTCCTAAAGGCATCTGAAAGATAAGTTTATTTAGATACAGGAATAGTAAGGGTAAGGAGACTGCACTCAGCAGTTATGAACATGTGGGTGTCTCTTTCAGTAAGGCCTAAAGATCCCCCTGTTAGGCTGTGGTCGACAGAAGGGCTGTATGTTGCTCTACTGAACTGGAGAATGCAAACAGGCATAATCCCGTACTCAGAAAGAGAAGGAGTGGGTATCGCTGGGATGATTTAAAGAGCAGAAGAGCCAGGGGTAGCATTTTTGTTTCAAAAAGTTGACTTGATTTCCATATTATGTGCAACCACCAGAACTTCTCAAATGTGTTAAATATCTTGGAAGCAGATACATTAAATACTAGATTGCCCTAGTTTGTTTTAAGGAGTATTTACATTAAAGCTGTTATACTATTTCTGCCCTGCTGAATTCAAAATGTGTACTAGAACTAGCCTGTCATGTCCTATCATCCCTTGTACCTACCATGGGAATTTTGTAATGAACACCAAACCTCTGGTGTCTTTGTTCTTGATCCAGATGTCCCAGGATCAACTGATACATTTATTCCTTTGATAAGTATTTAATGAGCTTCTATGGTGTGTCAGGAATTATGCTAAGAACTGGGAATGTGCAGCAAAATAAATTGACCTACGTCTTACCCTCATGGATCTTAGAATCAAGTATAGAAAAAAAAGGAAAACTATCACAAGCCCATTGATATATAATTAGTGCTTTGAAGGGCGACCTGATTTAGATAAGGCAAGAGAGTTAATAGAAAAGGCTTCTTTAAAAAACTGACATATATGTTAGAATGAGTAGGAAGTGACTAGACAGAAGCAGAGAAATGCATATGAGTCCAAGGAAACAGCATGTGGAAAGGTCTTGGGGCAGGAAAGAGCTTTACGCACATGAAGAAGCAAAGGGAAGCCAGAGTGACTGGAGGACGGTGAGAGGTGTTTGATGATGCTGGTGAGCATGTTGGTGGCTTTGGAGGCCTTGTTGTGGGTTTTAGAACTGACTCTAAAGTTACAGGACACCCTTAAAAGATAGAAAGCCTTCAGTAAGCGAGAAAACGACATAATCAGGTTTGTCTTTCTCAGAAATCCTTCTGGGCTGTTTCTGTGTGTAGACTGAATTGAACAGAATCGAGAATGGAAAGGAGATGATCAATTAAGAGGTCACTGTATTGGGCAATCCATGATTACGACTTGAATGAGGGTAGTGGTAGTAATAATGGAGAGTGGGTTGGAAGGATACGAAAACCAGGGGGGAGGTAGACTCAACAGGATTTGAAGCTGGATTGGATGTGGTGAGATGACAGCTTTCAGTAACACTTTCTTTCTAGAGAAACTTTTCTAAATTTAACTCCCCTGCTTGGGAGTTACAATTACCACCCCCCCCCCCCATATGCGTATTTCCGTAACTTTTCACAGTAACTTTACCACCACTGGTGGGGCGGGGTGTCAAGGCAAGGAAGGTGTGGTCTCTGACTCTACCTGATCACTCAGGCAGGATTCTCAGGACAAAAGTCACCACATGCCAGGTCTGAACCTCAGCCTGCGGGGCTGAGACCAGGCTCTGAGCTCCTCAGAGATGACCAGTGTTTTGTGAAGGACTCTTACCTATTGAATGTAGCAGGATAACCCGTTTCTCTGCATAAATATTTTCTCTAACACTAATCTTAACCTCCTAACGAGCCTCTCTATCCCACTGAGTAGAGGGGGGAAAAGTAAACTTAATTTGCCTATTACATGTATTTGCCTCTCCTCCGGTCAGTCCAGTCTCTTCATGGTAAAATCAGTCCCTTTGGCAGACATTAACACTGGTCTTCTCTTCACATGATTGTTGTAATAATTTTAAACCTCCCCAAGGCAAGTAAATAGCACGGGGTGGGGGGAGGAGCAAGGGAATGCCGCGAGAAATGCATGTAAGTACATTTAAAAATATTATCTCTAACACATCATAACCTAAACTAAAAAGCCATTTATTAATGGATGGTAGAATCATCTCTCTCTAGTGTCCAGAATTTGACATTCCTTACCCGTACCCCATCTTGTAATTGAGATGTGTACAAAGCCATTTTGTTAGTTAAAATGTTGTTGGGTGAGCTTGAAATCCCAGCCAAAAAATAAAGTAAAATAGTGTATATGGATATTTCAATAAGCCCTGGGAAAAGCTGACTGCACAGCCCTGGTCCCATGGCCAACATGACTTTTCTCTGGTTTTCCTCAACTGGTGTGTTGTCTTCTTCTCCGTCCCAGTTTTTCTCATTCCGGACAATGCCGAACACTCACTGGACCTTTCTCACTGAGGTCAAAACACACCTCTGTTTGGCCTGCTTTATCTTTCTGTGCGTGTGGTAATATCAAAGTATTTGCAAAGGCCCCGCCCCGTGTCTTTGGACTAGGAAAAAGTCTGTCTTTTACTATTATGTAAGAGACTTTACATAATACTTTTTTTTTTAACTGCCAAAGTCTGTCTTTTACTATTACATGCTGAGCCAATCAAACTGAGAAATTATAAGGACACTTACCACATTCAGCCTCATTTATATTGGAAGCCATAACAGAAAAGCTACGGCAACCTGGGTAGATACTACTGTCAGCTCGGTGAAATAATAGTTACATGAGCCTTGGGGAAAGACTGTAAATTCAATCCTATTGTTAACTTATTTCTACTTATGTGAGTTTAGATAAAGTAAGCTCTCCACAGCTTAATTAACACAGCACTAAAATGGAAATATTTTGGTGTCTCCCCATGCTGTGACGGTTCATTTTATATCAGCCTAACTGAACTACCAGGTGCCCAGACATTTGGTCAAACATTATTCTGGGTATGTCTGTGAGGGTGTTTTGGATGAGATTAACAACTTGAATCAGTAGACGGGGTAAAGCCCATCCAATGAGTTGAAAGCTGAGTAGGATGAAAACGCTGACCTTCCATCAAGTAAGAAGGAATGCCCCCTGCCTGGCTGCTGGAGCTAGGACATTGGTCTTTTCCTGCCTTCACGCTCAGATGAAGCATTGGCACTTGGACCTTGAGCCTGCCAGTTTTCAGACTGGAATTTTCGTAGTGGCTCTTCTGGTTTTTAGGCCTTCAGGCTAGACTTACATCAGCTTTCCTGGGTTCCAGCTTGCCAATTGCAGCTCTTGGGACTCCTCAGATTCTACAGTTTCTGAGCCAGTTCCTTGTAGTAAATGTATTTCTCTGTATACATTCTGTTGCTGTTGTTTCTTTGAAGAACGCCAACTAATACACATTTGGGTACTGACTGGTTGGTAAACTAGCGAATGTAAGATCACCTAGTTGATCTTAATGTCACTGGACAAAGTGAAGAAGAAAAGGATGAACTCGGGGATTTTAATTCCAAGCTTATGTGCCCATAAATGATCTGAAAGCCTCTATGTGTGCTCTGAAGAATATCCTTATCTCCTCTAGCCACAGGGCTGAGATGGCTAAAAATCAAACCCAGAATCTTATCTTGTGACTGGTTGAATTACAGTGCAAGTTGAACTGCCAGCCTCACCAGGTGCTCACTGTTGAAGTGAGAGCATTGAATGGGGAAGGTACACCAGAAGTTAATGTGAGAATTAAATCAGGTAACTAACTGTGAAAAGCCTTTAGCAGAGTTTTTAGTTTACAGTAAACACTCAATAAGCATTTTTGTGTCTGCGTTTCTGTAAAATAGGTGGCTTATTGTCAGCTCATCTCCACTCAGAAGGTGACTCTACTCACCATAGATTTCACTTCTCACTATCCCATCATCACAAAGAAAATGTAACACAGTCACCTCTCACTACAATACATAATCCTCAGATTATGCATATTATGTGAGCTTACAAAATTTTAAAAGTCATAAATAAATTCAAAATGGTTATTGATTTTTAGTTCCTCTCACTCAATTTTCTTTTTAAAATTTTGGCTGTGCAATTTATCCTTCTATACCACCTCAGTCCAGATCAAGCGAGAGTGTCCACGATCCTGATAGTCTTCAGTACAAAGAAGAGACAAGCCCACAGTCCGTAGCTTAAACAAATAAGGAAATTTATTGAATCCAATAACAAAAAATCCAAAGGTTAAACAGCTATGAAAACAACATAATTAGAGCCCTAGTTCCACTCTCTGCAACTCATTTGGCTCAGACCTTGTGTATTGGTTTTGTCCTCGGTCTGGCTGCTCTCGTGGCCCCAATATATCCTCAGTCTTAAGACAAAACAACATCCAAAGGGAAAATCTCCCATATCTTTGTTTTCTAAGACAAGGAAAACTTCACCCCAAATGCCCAAATGTCTCTTTCAATCTCCATTATCTTCAGATGTCTCTGACATCTCATTGGCCAGATGATGTCACATGTCCAAGCCTACACTAATCACTGGATGAAGAGAAAAGACCAATATGATTGATCCACACCAATTAACACTCACCTCTGGGGGCTGGAGTGAAACAATAGAGTGGCAAGCCTCAGAGAAGATAAAGTAAATCCAGAGACTGTTTAGGGGTGACAGGTCTAGAATTATTTGTGTATTAAGAGGCACATAAACTGTTGTCTTTTGTCTAACCGCCATAGAAAGGGAATCTGATAGGGTAAAAGTCACTGGGACTCACATGTGCACTTAAATAGGAAAATAACAAGTCTTCTACATATTGATTTAAACCAAAGGGACTTCTGAAGGCAGGCAAAGGGTACATTAAGGATGGAATAGCTTGGAGAATCAAAATGTCTGGACAAGACAGTTCAGGAGTAATCTTTGTCCATAGGTTACAGAAAACACTTGAAATGTGGTTTCACCAGAAGAACACTCCCCCCAGCTTTCATTTGTTATGAAGATTATTAAGGAAAAGCAGGTGGGGCAAACCATGCTGTTGGGCAATTCAATAGCCCTTGTTAGTAATGGATCTCATTTTTGTTCACTGTCCACCAAATGGACATGTTCTTCAATGGATGCGTGGCTCATCTCCATACCCATGGGTAGTAAATCTTGATTGTCTAAGATGTTATGGTAGTCTCATTTCCCATGCCGGTGATTGTTTTAGACATAAACATGGGATAATCTTTGGCCCATAGACTATCAAGCAAAATAAAACAGAAATAATAGGCCCACTCCTGGCCACATTTTGATGGATTCAAAGAACACTAAGAACAAACATAAAATTGTAAAAAGGTTTCAAAGAAAGATGGAAAAAACCCACAAAGGAGTAACAATCAGACTTCTCATTGGGGATGCATTTATTTTAAAGAAACAGAAGTTGATGAACCAGATTTGACTGATAACCAAACCAAAAGCTATCCTTAGAAAAGATCACTAGAATAGACAAGTATTTGCTGAGTCAAACTAAGAGGAAAAGGAGATAGCATGTAAAGAAACAACAAAGGCACTTGATTAAATTCAATCCCATTCCTGATTGAAATTCTAATAAGAAATATATTTTGGGAATAAAAAGAAGCATCCTATTCTAAAAAAAAAAAATTAAAGTATCAACTGGAAATCTATAGCAAGCATTACACTTGCCAAAATAAAGACCAGAGCACTGAGGGAAAATAATTGTTAACATCAAGTTCTATATGAAGAGTTCAGATGACACTCTGATCCCTCCATTGCAAATTTTTCATGCAACCAAGTTGTGAAGAAACCAGGTCAGTTGGTAATCAACTTGTAAAGAGACCACGTCATGGAATGACCCACAATCTGGATTTGTTTGACTGTCTTTTTGTAAGTGCCATTGAATTTGTTCTCTAGCCACCACAGTAATTAGACATTTGATCTACAGGCTTGATTAAGTTCAAATTCAACAGTGTTGTTAGAGGTAGTTCTGGGCACTCTACCTTACATCTCATCATGATGCACATAACATCAAATTGACCATTTTTAGAGATGCTAAGTTTGATAGGAGAGTTCAGGTGCTGGCAATACCTGGACCCAGGATATCCCTAACAGGGGTACAAAAGATTCAGTTTGCATTGAAATAGCAACATTTCCTGGTGCATATAAACTAATATTCAATTTACAAAAATTCAAAGCACATACAAATTTGTCATAAATACTTCAGAGGCACCTATGCCCTGGTCCTTTGATTTCGTCCCGTTTTCTTGCAGTTCATTCAAGATGATTGTGAATATAGAGAAATCAGGAGGGCCCCTCTCCTCACCACATCCCTGCCTCATTCTCCTCCATCTCAGCCTCATCGCTTTCTCAGAGCTCACTTCTGGTTTGAGTGAGGTGTTGCCTGAAGAATTTCTGGATCTCTCCCCAGGCATGCTCCTGGGCTGCAGCATGCGCAGCGGGGTCCCCTCCCCAGAGCAGGGGTTGAGTAAAGGAGTAATTATAGGAAAGGGAAATAAGGTTATTAAGAAGAGCGGAAATGGAGTAAATACGGGATGCGTAGCACAGGGGTGCATAGGGCGGCTCTAGAAGGTGGCCTGCCCCTGGGTAGAGCAGCATCCTTCCATTGCTTCTCCCATGGCTCTTCAGCTGCTCCAGGGCCTGCTTAGCATATTCTTTGCTATTGATCGATTGGTCATCCTCTCCTATAATGAAGAGGATCTGACCCTGGGCCTTTTCGATAGGAAACACGCTCCGCTGATTCAGCTTCTCCCGGGGGTCCCCCCTGTAGTGGAGGAGGCTCACAGCCCCTGAGACGTGCACCCGCATCAGCTCCAGAAACGAGGGAATGGGTGACATAACCAGACCCCTGTACCTGAACGGAAAGTCATAGAGGGCAGTAGGCCCATTGATGCAGACGGTGGCGACCACCTGCTTCAGGAAGCAGGCCATGGCCAGCCCGATCTCTGCACCTTTGCTCACGGAAAGCACTCCGATGCCTGGCCCTCGGACCTGAAACACAAAATGAAGGGAACCCATGGCAGGCCATCCACTGAGAAGTCGGGCCACAGGCCACTAGCTAGTATGACGGGCATTAGCACAAGTGGGGAGGGAGTCCTGGCACTCGGGGTCACCAGCTTTTGCAACTGTGAACACTGCCCACCTCCCCTCTCTAAGCCTATTGTCTTGAGAATGGGGGGTGGTGATAGTATTACCTACCTTGCAGGATTGTTATTGAGGCTCAAGGGAAACAATAGAAATAAAGACTTTATCAAAGGCAGAGTCCTATAAAAGCCCGAAGGATCTAATGCACCAGCAACAATCTACATCCTGAAAGCAGAGGTAGGTGAGCTTTCTGAAGAATCAAATTCTTCTCTCCAGCTAGGAGAAGACGTTTCCTGGGCTCTTTCAAATAATATGTCAGTGTCGTTCCTATTTAAGTAGCATTTTACAGCTACAGAGGTTTTGCACGTCCATTAACCCAAAGGCTAATACTAATGAGAAAAGACTTGAATTCTACCGACAGGTGAATTTCAGGACCCAGTCCAACAGGAAAAGCAGTAGGTCAGAGGAGTGGGTCCTTCCTTCTATTGTGGGCTGAGGGAGCAGCGGGAGGAAAGGGTCTGAGAGACAAGGGAGGAAAGGACCAGCATTCTGGGTAGACTACAGCAAAGACATAGCCACCTGGTAAGTTATTTTGCTCACAATTGTATTCCCAACACCCTTCTGTCATCACAATCACCTGATAAAACACTGAAGCACCGTCGTAAATAAAAAGGAAACACTTTAAGTGCAATAAGACTTGGCTTTCTGCCCATTGATAATCATCATAATATATCCACCCTTTTTTTCTTGTCTTTTTCTTCACTGGGTACTTAGTAAGCACTAAGCTGATCTCCAATCAATCCCAGAGACCCCTAAGGCAGATATGAGCATCAATCCTACAAGGTAGATAATAGCATTCCCATTTTAACTGTAAACTGTTGTACTATGCCCAGGTTTAAACAGACTGGTAAAATGATCAGAACAGACATCGGAGATTTTTTTTTTTTGTCTTTTGCTATAAGGTTACAAGGTAAAATGAAAAATTTTTTAAATACCTTGGGATGAGCTAGTAGCAAGTTGGCAGCTTCCTCAAAATATTCCAGGTCCACCACCTTCAGTAGCTTGGGCAGGTCTTCATAGGCAAAGTATGCTAATGCCAGGACTGCAAAGCCATGGGCAGCCAGCAGGCTGGCTCGGAATTCAACTAGACCCCCTATACCCCCAAACATATCCACGATTCCTGGGAAAGGGCCTTCCCCTGAGAACAGCAAAGAGAGGAGAGAATGAGATTAGAAAGAGGGAGAAGAGGGTCCAGCAGAGAGCACAGGCAGAGCAAAATGAAGTCCACCTTCACACACAAACACACAAGGGCAAGTTCGTTTTAATAGATCGTGGGACATACTAGTCCTCCGATACTTTGATGCCCTGTGATTGTGCCTTTATTTCCATCAACACTGTTTTCTCCACCACCGAAGACCAGTCTCACCTGGAGGGAGAAAAAGGGCTCCCCGCACGCGGCCTTCTCGGATGGGCACCCGCTGCGTCCCGGGGCTGCGGAACCAGCGCTGCACCACCTGGCTGGCCCGGGGCTGAGCCGTGGCTGAATCGTGGGAGCAAACTGAGTCGTATAAGTCCAGAGTGACCACAAAGGGGCTGTTCACATCCCTCTTAAGCAGCCTCCCGAAAGGCCTGTCAGGCTTCATAGACCAGAAGAGGCCCATGGGATGGACCCCCACATAGTCGCCTCCAACTGCAGGAGCCTGCTTCAGGTCCAGCTCACCGGCCTCGTCAGCCCTGTAGAAGGCTTTGGACCGGTACAGGTGTCCCTTCTCATCCCTCAGAGATGCCGCGAGGGTCACCAGCTGCAACGGAGGCAGGCCTGTGGCTCGGATGTGCACGGGCTCATCAGAAAGCGCACTGGCTGGGGTGGCTGTCAGCTGGAACATTGGAGACGGCCCTGCAGCGGAAGAGGAGGCTCTGCATTGGAGAAAATGCCAAGGGGAAAGTCCAGACCAGGCTTGTGTGAGGTCCAGCCAAGTCAGATTTCTGGAGACGGCACAAGGTCTGCTGAACATTTCGAGGAGGGCGAGGAAACTGTGCAGAGAGTGCCCATTGTTCTCATTTAAATAGGAGGAAGCAGGTTAAGTGACACGTCAAAGTCTCATAAATAATTAATAGTAGAACTGGAAATTCAAGCTGGGTCCGGCACCACTGTCTCCTGTCTTATCCATTATATAACAGTGTGTTAAATCTTAGTTGTGTGGTTTTAAGACATTTGAGCTTTAATTCCTCAGTGGAGATAATACCCGTGGGACCAATTTCACAGGGTGTTTCTTGGAACCCAAAGGTGCATGAGGAAGGGCTTAGGGGACGACCAGTGCAGATTTTCTTACTCCTGCCTACCTGGGCTACAGGCACATAAACACAAAATATACTGTGGTGTGTTTACTTTCCGTCTCTAAGCTCTCCCTGCCCTTGTAAATCTGACCTCCCGCTCTATCACAGTTCCTATTATTGGTTCCTTTTAAGGGAAGATAAAACTTTATGATCTTGTCTCTATGTTTGTAGTAAAGAAACCATAATGTATATTTGATCAGCCATTTCTTACTCTGTTCAATTATGAGGAAAATTTGGGGTGTTCCTTTCTTACCTTCCTACCTTCCTTTTATTCTTTTCTTCTTTCCATTTCTTCCTTCTTTCTTTCTTTCTTTCTTTCTTTCTTCCTTTCTTTCTTCCTTTCTCTCCGTCCTTCCTTTTTTCAAATTCTCATTTCTCAAAGGATTTGAACCTGTGTACAGAGAAATAAATACAGAGTAAAATAAAAATAAAATAGGGACCTGGGAAAATATGAACTAGAATCAGAGGCATTGATAAAAGAAAACCTGGAGCATGAAAAGTAGAGCATTTTGTGGGCTGTGAGTTTGGCACTGAAGTCGCGAAAACCAAAGGAAAAAAGGCAACCCAACCTGGTCAGCGTTGTTCTAAGTATTCTCGTAGAAACAGTTACCACTTCCTCAGGGAGAAGAAAAGAGGTGGCAA